CTTATATTTCAATGAGAGGACGGAGTTTTTTGTGTTTGGCGGCGCTGATAAGAGTTCAGCGACTTTAACGGGAGAAGAAGAAAAGAATTGATGCCGATTTTTTGTCGGCATTTTGCAGAATGTGTCTGATCTTTCTAGATGTACTCAACTTAATTACAATGTCTGAAAACAGAAGAATTTCAGACTTATTGAGAGAATAATATCACTCTTCTGTCCCAGAAATGAGATCCTACTCTACTTCCTGGGGCTAATGTTTTCAACTTTGGGTTCATACATGCATATAGTCTTTTTGATTTTTTCTTTTCGTTTAAACTCATGGTATATAATGCATAATCTAAAGAAAGAAACAACCTAATTGCAGATGCCAGAGGACCTTACCCTAACCCCATGATGATGTCAGGCAAGCAGATTAACAGAGGGAATGTAAAGGTATCCAATTGGCTCAGATAACTCATTTAATATTGTTTTTAAATATGTAGTTAAGCATTCTTTGCCGATTTGAGGTATGAAAGACCATAATTACATTATCTATGGCGACCTGGATAAATATCTCTTTGCAGATGCGCAAATGAGCCAATGTTACAGATCGGATAGTGACAGGACCAAACAGAGCGAGGCAAGAGGGAATACTCTGATTTGATTGGTCATCATGAATGGAGTACCTTAGTTTCTGCAAAGCAGATGTAATCCGCCAATCAGCGCCACCCAAAAGATAAAACTCCACCTCCTTAGTGGAATATAAGAACATAAAATAAAGAGAGCTCAAAATGAAAAAAAAAAGTAGTTAAAAAATAAAAGTCAGTGAATATGTTAAGTAGCTTAGCAAAATAAGTGTTTCAAAATAACACTTCATTACTCAATACATAAATAAACTCATAAATAAATTATTTAATAAATCTTTGAATAAATAAAAAAATCGTTTTATATATTTTTTTATGGGGATATTTCTTTAATGAAATATTTATTGACAATTTATGAATAGCAGTATTTAGCTACATGCAGTTTAGTTAAGTTTGATCTGCTGCTGAAGGTTTTTTTTCCTTGTCTCTTTTTCCTCCCTGATTTTGCTGTGGTCTCCAGGAGGCTTTGGAAGCCGACTGCTTCATCAAGACCATCTGACTTTAAGTCTTCTGTTCTTTTTTATGCTCTGCATACTCTGTGGTTTCTCAGCAGCATCTGTTCCTGTTTCCAGGTGGGTGAGAAGAGATCGCTTCTGCAGCTCCAGAAAATGGTGCAGAAATGATAGCGGCACAGGATTTGCACGCAGAGTTCCAGTTTCCCCAGTAAGCAGTCAATCACAGCCGTGCTTCATTGTCCTCAATCTCTGGTGAAAGTTTAGTTTTATTCACCAATGTCTTCATTCTTTTTATGCACAGAGAAACAGAATCTCAGTTGTCCTCAGATGCAGACCTTGAGGATCCTGATGGAAGAAACACAAAGGGAGGAAGGGGCCTGGTATGATCATTCAATTAAGCTGCAAATAAAACCAGATGTTTACTACATCACATTTTTAATTTTGAATGACACAACTAGGGTAAATCAGGATTATAAAAACGTACATAATAATCATAAAAATAATTTAGATTTCAAATGTTAACTTTGTTCTCTTTAAGATGTATAATTAATCTGGCAAAATGTTAGTCAGTAGCAGTGTTTCCATTGTCTGTCAAATTGAACATTTTCTATGTAAGGAAATAGATTTGTTTACCCAGGATGTCTGTAGCGCAACCACACAATTTTCATAGGGGTGACCAGGCAGGGAGGGTTGGCTGAAAACGTACAGACAGCAGACCCAGATCAGGGTCAGTACACTAATAATATTGATTTAACCGGAGTCCTAAAGTCATTGCTAATTAACGTACACATCACATATGCTGTCTTAATTAAATGTGTAGTGGGAGATCTTGTTTCTGCTTCGATTTTCAGGGGGGTTATTTTATCTGTTGTTTATCCTACATGCCAGTCTTCTGTTTCTAGTGTTATGTTAGCTTTGGTTTTAGCTCCACAGCTCTCACCATGTGTTTGAAAAAGGTTAAGAGTCGCTAGGAGCAAACCGTCTTGCAATTTTATGAGACGAAAAAATGCCTCAGAAGAAAGAAACAAGTCCGGAGAGAGTATTTAAAAGATTCTTTTAATATGAAAATTGATTAAAAAAAAGAAAATTTTAAAAAACATAAGTTCATCTCAAATTTTTTTTTTTAAGGATTCTCTAAAAGTTTATTTCTTGATGCCATTTACAAAACAATTGTCTTTATCATTTTAAATTTTTAATTATTACTTTCAACAGTAATGGAACAACAGTCACTAAATCAATATAGGCAGTGTCCTTTAGTTGAACACAATATCAATATTTAGGTTTAACCCTCTCAGCCTTCTGCTTCCTGCTTATACAGACAGTTTTCATAGTTCTGCTCCCATTGATCATTAAAACCTTGTTCTAATTGACAGGGAGCCAAAAGGGGGAGGAAGGTGCTGGGAGACAAGGCCAGAGGTGGGGCAGGAGGAAGGGTCAGCGGTGCTGGCTGGGTCAATGGCCATCGTCAGGAGAACGGGTTGGAGAACATGAGCCTTTTTGAAGTGGTTAAAATGGGGAGGAGTGCCACACAGGTGAGGAGGCTGCTTTCTCACTGCAGAAATACTGTTCTAATTAAAACCAAGTTTGAGCAGCTAATTTAAAAAAAATAATCAGATTAATTATGTTTAAAATAAGAAACAAGTAAATTCACGATCTTATATAAATATTTAATTATTTATTCTATGAATAAAGCTGGTTTAAACTGCTCTTCTTTTGTACGTCTAGTCTGTGGTGGATGACTGGATCGAGGCCTACAAACAGGACAGAGATGTGGCGCTCTTAGAGTTGATCAACTTCTTCATCCAGTGTTCCGGCTGTAAAGGTACCCGTCAGAATCAGTCCAGGTGGACTGCAGGTTTTTGCTGAACACTTTTTTTTGACACGCTTCTGTGAAATCCTTTGTTTCTCCATTCAGGTGCTGTGAGTGAAGAAATGTTCAGACATATGCAGAACTCAGAAATCATCAGGAAAATGACAGAGGAGTTTGATGAGGTGAAGTGTTTTGGTTATCTAGATCTCAGCTCTGCAACCTTTAAAATCCAGATTGACCTTTTGCTCCATTTAAATAAAATTTGTTTTCATTCATTATTGTTGTTAAATATCAGCTATAAAAATCAGTTTCCATTTTCAACGCTCAACAATTCGTTTGTATTTTTAGAATTTATAATGAGGAAGAACATAAAGAGGAAGTATCTTCTATAGGATGTTGATATGTTTGTAAAACCATATAGAAAATTTTCCAAGCCAGGCTTTTAAATCGCCCTAAAAAAAGGACAAATTGTACGATCTTTCTTTAGGATGTACGGCTTTGGTAGGCCCTCATTCAAATCTTCAAAATTTCACAAACAGCAGATTCTGGAGTTGGAATATTGAATTTTTGCTGCTAGATGCTCCAGAGAAGCTGATCTGGGAGCTGGCAGCGAGACAGCCATCAGCACTGCTAATGCAGAGCGCTAGGATCACAGCCCCTGAAAAAGTTTATTAAGGCCTAAATTATAGCCTGGTAAACCAGCCCCACCCGCCAGCGGCCAAATCATTTTTTCCTGCGAGTTTGGTCTAGCCTCAATCAATGCTCCAGGCCCTAGAACTGGTGGGCCAATCACAACGCAGAAATGTGTTTTGAATTTCTGGGTGCAAAGTGGGCGGGGTTTTGAGGGCGGGACGACAAAGCTGCGCAATGCTGGAGAAAGCACAACAAGGAAGATGGCAACAACTATTGAACAGTTCTCGTTTGACTCAGCTTTGGAATCAGTTTTAGAAGGATTAGACTTGGGGTTTTCGTTGAAACGTGAGCAGGAAGAGGCTCTATGCTCATTCATTTTTAAGAAGGACGTATTCGCCATTTTACTGACAGGCTGTTCGAGCTAACTACGTCACAGTCAGCTGCGCTCATTGGTCAGAGCGTTGGCCAACAGGCACAGAAATGGTTTGAAAAACAACCCATTGTTTTATTTTTTAATCTTCCGATGTCTCATTCATCGGGGACATACTAAATTACACATTTAATCTCACATTTAGTCTGGTTTCTCAGACTACCTAAATTACTTAAAATGTTGAAAGCTGCCAGCAAAATATGTTCAGTTTTATAATCCTGGTGCTTGCCGTTTGTACCACATACCTGAAAAATGCTAACACCTACCTCCAGCCGCCACCAACAGTAGGGGAAAAGCCACAAAAGGCGACCTGAGGCAGCTGCTGCTGGGGATTCCCAGTGACAGCGCACCGCCGGTATGTGGGAGGTCTGAGCAGCTCCGATAGAGAAATAATACTTGAAGGCAGGATGGTAATCTGGATTAACTAACTGCACAGACGATGTTTTCAGGTGGACTTTCTCACTTCAAAATATATTCAAACTTCTTTTTATCCACTGATCACAGCAAATATAGCGAAGCCGCTCTCTGCCATTAAACACAGGAGCAGCAGAAGAATCAGACGCATCTGGACACACTTTACTGGACATCTGACCTTAATGTGGACAAACATCAAAAATGAAGCAGCAGAAAATGCGTTGATGGCGTTTAGTGTGAACGTAGCATTAGACTTTCTTATTGTTTAAATTTACCTAGGAAACATAATGTTGTAACTAAAAATGATCTCATGTCTTCCTTATGAAATTTCCACCTCTAGTCAAGCAGACATACTTCCCATAATCAGGACAAAAATAGTGTTGGAACAAAGACAAAATGTTAGCTGTATTCCACCTCAAAATGCAGGAAATGGCGTTTGAGAGAGTCTGAGTTTCAAAACTTTCCCCTACTCCGCGCAAATCCTGAACATGTGATACACCCAGGTGAACACCCTATGAAATATTCCTGGCTAAAAGCCTGTTCCAAGCTTTAATGACATAAAAAAGGAATTGAAATAAGTTCTTGTAGGATTTTTATGTCACTCTGTTTTGATATTTTAAAGGATCCCAAAGCTTCTAAGGCTGCATTTATTATAAATTCTTCAAACTCCTAGTCGATTCTTTATCAATTTAGCAATTTAATAGCTGCTGATCTAGGACCTCCCTGTTCTCCTTTTTTCACTCTGATATCCTCTCTGGTCACCAAACAGGACAGCGGCGACTATCCTTTAACACTCTCAGGACCCCAGTGGAAACGATTCAGGATAAACTTTTGTGACTTTATTGCGGTGCTGGTTCGTCAGTGCCAGTACAGCATCATCTACGATGAGTATATGATGGATACGGTCATCTCTCTGCTCACTGGCCTGTCTGACTCCCAGGTCAGAGCGTTTAGACATACAAGCACACTAGCAGGTCAGTTTACAGCCCTTCCTGCTCTCCTATCTGCTAGCCTCTACTGTTGAGATCTTCACTGTGTTGTGCCTTTGGACTGTTGTCTTTCTCAGCCATGAAGCTGATGACTGCCTTGGTCAATGTCGCCTTGAACCTGAGCATCAACATGGACAACACTCAGAGACAGTATGAGGCAGAAAGGAACAAAGTTATTGCAAAAAGAGCCAATGATAGGCTGGAGCTGCTGCTACAGAAGAGGAAAGAGGTAAGAAGAAAATCTAATAAAAACTCTGCTGCTATATCCCAAGTTTACAAATGAAACCTTCCTGAATCTATGCAGGTTAGGCTTCGAAGGAGCCTTCGAAGTATTTTGAATCTTTCATTTTATATTTCTTTTTTTTCTTTAAGTCTTATTTACAGTCCTGCTTATGCGTACTTGTAGGAATTGAAAGGTTCAGGCTTTGTACATGCTGGTTATTTCAATTCAATTCAGTTTATTTCTATTGCGGCAATTGACGACACATGTCACCTCAAGGCACTTTACAGGGACAAATCAACCAGATCATACAGACAGATTGGTTCAGAGTTTTCTATCTAAGTAAAACCAGCTGAATAGCGACAGTGGAGAGGAAAACTCCCTTTGAACAAGAAGAAACCCCCAGCAGAACCAGAACCAGGCTCAGTGTGAGCGGCCATCTGCTGAGGCCGACTGGGTTCAAGGCGACAGAAGCGGACATAGAAAAAGGAGCAGAGATACAAAAGGCAACTGTCAACCAGCTCCACAGGCGGCCTCGTGCAGGAAACACACAGCCAGGCAGACGAGCTCTGAGACAGCTCCCATGTCAGATGATGAAAGAGAGGACAACTAGTTAGTTACAGTCAGAGAAACAGGACTACACTGAAAAACAGGCCAAGCTCCAACAGCTATAACCAAAGGTGTTGATGGCAGCAGTACAGCAGATTTTTTTCTCTCCAGGATGGTGTCACAGCTAAACGATGAAGATGAAGCTAAAAAGCAGAAACATAGCACTGGATAACCTGAGCCACTCTAACTATCAGCTTGATCAAAAAGAAAAGTTTTAAGCTTTTATTTTTAACTGTTTATGTTAAATTAAATACTTCAAGACAGAAAGGAAATGAAAAACAGGAGTAAATTAAATAATATAGCATGAAGGAGATTATACTATAAGTCTTTCTATTGAGTGGTTAATTTCTCTCACTGTGTTTTCAGTCTCGGGCTGTATGTCTTTTTTTCCTCCATTATAGCCCTCCATAATCATAGTTTTGATTTTTGATTGCTGCCTCAGCGACCCGGCGCCAGATAAAGCGGAAGAAAAAGGATGGATGTTATTAGGTTAAATAAAGGTTACATTCAACTGCATGTCTTTGGCACAGAGCCCCTTATTTGAAGAGCCGCCCTTTGTGAATCTTTGTCCTGAAGGTTTTTAGCTCCACCCATTTTCTAATCACCCCAGACCAGCTAACATGTCCATACTGATGGAAGGCATCCCCACAGCATGATGCTTCCATCAGTATGTTTTATAATGACACTGGTTCCCAAGCTTTTTTCACTAGGCTTCCCTTTGGTTCACATGATAGTTTGAGCAAGCCGGAGCAAATTATTTATACACATAGAGGCGCATTAGGAGCGGATCAATGCGAGTGTTGTGATAAGAGTTAATCGAATAAAGCGAGAGCGAAGTGGAACCAGAGATGGACACAAAGCAAATGTATGTGAACTTTTCTGTCGATCAGAAATCATAAATCAATTAGGGACTGGGTGTGGGAGCACAGCAGATACATTTTTCAGTCGAAATGAAGGCAGAATAATGTCTAAGTTGAGTGAAGTAAGGAATGCTCTTTAAAGGTTTAGAGCTGAATTTTTAAAAATAATCCGCTTTAATTTAGCACTTCCTTGTCCTCTGAGCTCCATAGCTGGTTCTGTCTTGCTGCAGCCTCTGCTGCTCTTCCTCTCTGAGCTACAGAGCGCCTCCCTACCTCACCTCTGCTTTCCCAGTCACCCTTCCCCCGAGGGGGATGACAGCTTCAAGTCCTGTCCAAACTGAAGCAACCTTGATCCAGCTGTAGCTCCTGGAGCATCCCTGGTGGACGCAGTGGACCCAGGAAAGCTGGCGCCGCTGTTGGGCAGATAGAAGCTGCTCATATTTGGTGAAGCGTTGTCCCCATGAATCACTGACGAAATGTCAACTGAGCAGCAGCACAAATCAAGTTGGTTGGAATGTCAGTAACAATGTACCTTCAGTCCCATAAAAGAACCTGCCTCAGTGGCTAAGATTCAAAACAGATGTTTTTCTTGTTCTTGCCACGAGAGCCAGAACAGATTTCTAATTGTTTGTGGTATTTGTATGTAACAATCGTCCGTTGTCCAAACATTCAACCACCTGAGCTGTTGATATCTGCAGCTCCTTTTTGGTGGTCTTGCTCTTTCCAGATGTTTGAAGACCTGACAGATGTTTCAAGAGTCTAACCTCGGTTTAAATGACTGTGATCCGTCTGCTACACTGCTGTCACTGTTTCTGTGCTCCTGTTTTTATTCAACATTTGAGGCTTCACACCTGCCTTTGTTTCACTGAGATTATGATTGAAGATTTAAGTAGAGATTGTGATGGTAAATGTACATTGTAGATCTGGGTTTTTACATCTACGCTTAGATTCTTAAATGGAAAAAGGAACTTGAAAGTCCAGCAGAGAATCTGTGTGTTTTCATTATGGTCACATTCGACCACAGCGTTCATAACGGGCAATCCTCTTGTACAATTTTGTGTTTTTCCAGGAAAAAAAACGCTTAGATCTGCTACTTGAATTAGATGAAACTGGGAAGATCATTAATTTTCCAAAATGTCAGATAAGCTTTGAATAATGAAAACCAGCCTGTAGGTAATGCTGAGTTATGACATCAGATGGACTCCAGGATTTTCCTCCAGCTGTCAAAACAAAACAAAACAAAACAGTTTTACATTGTGTAGCTGTAGGTATAAAATGAAGTAAGGTTTATTTATATAGCACCGCTCAGACAAGCATCAAAAAGTGCTGTACAATATGAGCCATAAAATACAAAACAGCACCATATAAAATACATATAGACCACATAAATACAATCATAGCAGCCCTTGATAAAATGAGTCTAAAATGCTTGGTTCATTTTTAAAATGATCTATGGAGTTTACCAAGCAGAGGTCTGGGTGCGACAGCTTAGAAGGACCTTTTCACCTCTTGTCCTGAAACAAGGCATCATTAAACAGTTCTTTTAAGCAGATCTCAAACTGCGAGCAGAAAAGAGAGGCTAAATCCAGTCATAGATGTAAGAGGAGCCCTGTCCATGCAGGGCTCTAAAGGTCAGGACCAGAATTTTAAAGTTTATGCCATATTCAATGGGAAGCCGGTGTAGAGCTTTGAGAACAGGAGTTATGTGGGCTCTTCTGGTTTGACCTGTCGAGATCCTCGCTGCAGAATTTTGCACTAGCTGCAGTCAAGCTAGGCATTTTATGTTCGGTCAAGTGAACAGGCTATTGCAGTAGTCCAAACGTGTTGACACAGATGCATGGATCAAGGGCCTTTTCAGAAAATAAATGAGTTTAATTTTGTTACGCAGCTGAAGGAAACATTTTTCTGCCCTAGAGACATTGCCTCATGAAATAAAACTCCAAGGTTTCTCAAGGTCTGTTTAGTCACCTGGTTTTAGTTGCCTAAGTAAATGTATGTTTAAATTATTAAATATGTTTCTGGACTTTGCATTTAAAAAGAAGCTGTAGTTTGTCATTTGTAATGTTTTTAAGAAGCATTTAATTTTCCAGGGAAATGTCCTGCTTAGCTGAGCTAAATAGATTCATATATAAACATGTTTCTTGCTTTTTTTTTCAGCTCCAGGAAAACCAAGATGACATTGAAAACATGATGAATGCAATTTTCAAAGGAGTCTTTGTCCACAGATATCGGTAGGTAAACTGGCTGTAAGATTTCAGAACAATTAGCTGTTTTCAGTTTCAGACATTTCTTTGCTGATTTAGGGCCTTTGGCACCATCTAGTGGTGAACAGCTGTCAGCACAAAATATTATCTGGAAAATAAATTTACTTCTTTCCTTCTTTTTGTCTCTATCATTAGGAAGTAGATGTGTTGTTTTTCCATGTTGTTATCAATCAACCCTGTTCACTCTATTTTTCAAACTCGTCTTAAGCCCTATTTTACTTCTTTGTTTTTTTTTAACACAGCACAAGACTGTTTTTGCATTTATGGTTTGTTTTATTGTTTTTTTATTGGTTTTAATTAATGTATTTTATTAGATTTGTTTTATCCCATAAACTTCTATGTTGCTTTTATACAAATTTAACTTGATATGTACAGCACTTTGTGGCAGCTGTGGTTGTTTTAAAGGGCTTTATAAAGTTGAGTTAATTAATGGCTGTAAAGTTGATTCATATTATTGATCGACTAGCGGTTAAACGATTAAAGGCCATTTCCTTAAAAACTTAAGGTTTCTCTTGAATCAAAAGAATCTTCTACAATATGCTGAATAAAAAAAATGCATGAATATAGTTTAAAAATGTATTGTTCCGGCTGTATTAACTACTCAGTGACTATTCAAAGACATGCTTTCACATATTATTAAACCAGACGTAATAAAACAGGAACCTATTGTGTTACTGAAAAAAAAAGATTAATAAAATCTGGGACACTTTCTGATTTCCAATGAACACAGATGTAAAACTATAATTTAAAGACGCCATAGCTTTGTCACTCTGTCTCACTTTCATGAAGTGCATGTGATTTTGCTCTGGTTATTGTCTAAACCAACAATCAGTGCTGGGAAACTTTGTTCTGGAGCAGAGCTTTTAACCCTTTAAAGCCCGATCCAAGAATAAAACAAAACAGAAAATTACGTTTTTTTTGGTTTGAAGTCCTTATTTGGCCTTTTAACAAAATATGTAAAAAAACAGAAACACATTTTTGATATTAATAATTTATTACTATGCGATAAATCAAGAAAATGTTTTGTGTAGTCTTCTGCCCTCTGTTATCAGGTATATCTGATTGTGTACAATAGGATTTTAAGCAAAGTTTTTAACCATTAAATTATGCAAAAGGTGTCAGACGCAAAACATTTCAGAAACCGTATGTATCAAATATAATACATTTGGCATTACAGGGTTAAAAACAGGCAGTTCTGGTTGCTTTTATAGAGGATTAGAAAATTTGACTCCCTGCTACCGTCCTAATTTATAGTCTGTCAGCAAGGAAGTTGATGCTGCTCCTCCATGCAGCGAAGCTAAATGAGCCTATTTAGCTGCAGACGGAAGGAGTTTATCCAGAATCACAATCAAAATTATTTTATTAATCCCTTGCAGAAAATTATTTTCTTGCAATGCAACCATTTACAGAAGAGAGAAAATAAGATTGTAGTACAATAGAACAAAATATATAATATATAGTATAATAGGAATATAAAGAAAGTTAAATTAGTCAAATTACACCCCACACAGTAAAATTACACCCTTCCCATATAAACAGTGTAAAATTAGATATAAGAGTAAAATAAAATAAGGATCACATTATATAAAATCAACAGTATTTACAATGCTGCTCATTACCAAATTACAATTATAGCACATGATCGTGTTATTGCACATAGTGAAGTAATGAAATAAGTAATGAAATGACTGTCAGAGAGTTGAATCATACAGTTTGATGGCCACAGGCAGGAATGACTTCTTGTGGCGCTCTGTGGTGCAGCGTGATGAAATGAGTCTGACTTAAGGTGCTACTGTTGGTGACCAGCACATCATGAAGAGGATGTGCAGAATTGTCCAGCAGGGGATTTTATCCTGGCCAACATTCTGCAGTCAGAGAGTCCAGCTGCTCTCCAACAACATGACTGACCTTGCGGAAGAATTTAGGTCTGTTGGCGTCCTTTACCTTCAGTCTGCTGCTCCAGCAAGCAACAGCGTAAAGGAAGGCACTGACCACCACAGACTCATAAAACATCTGCAACATTTTCCGGCAGATCTTAAAGGACCTCAGCCGCCTCAGAAAATAGAGACGGCTCTGACACTTCCTGTAGAGGGCATTGGTGTTTTTAGTCCTGTCCAGTTTATTGTCCAAGTGCACCTCTAAGTATTTACAATCCTCCACAGTGCCCTCATAGACCCCACAGATAGAAACGGAGCTCACTGGGGCCTTGATCATTCTCAGATCCACCACCAGTTCCTTGGTCTTTGCCACGTTAAGCTGTAGATGGTTCTGCTCACACCAGGTGTCAAAGTTATCATCAACACCCCTGTACTCCGTCTCCTCGCCATCGTTGATACATCCAATTACTGCAAAGTCACCAAAAACCTTCTGAAAGTGATCTCTGTGCAGTAGCTGAAGTCTGTGGTGTACTTGGTGCAGAGGAAAGTAGAGAGGACAGTCTCCTGTGGGGTCCCTGTGCTGCTGATCAGCTTTTCTGACTTGCAGTGCTGCAGGCATTGTGGTCTGCCAGTCAGGTAATCCACAATCCAGGACACAATGGGGACATCCACCTGCAATGCTGTCAGTTTCTCCCCCAGTAGACCCGGCCTGATGGTGTTGAACCCACTGGAGAAGTCAAAGAACATGATTCTCAAAGTCATGTATCCAGTGTTTATATTTACTAACAGAACCACAGAAAGTTCAGTCTGAATTCTTGGATCTATTGAACGGTAAAAGTAATCCAAAACTGACTGGATCCATTCATGGTTCTGCTCTAGCATGGATCCACTCTGGCATTACCATTTTTGCAATTAACCAGTGAGGCTCAGCTTTTTAACAACCCTCTAGTGGTCTGAGGCAACATTGCAACACTGAAAGAAACACCTTCTAAGGGGATGTTATCAGTTAATCAGATGGAAAAAATGTTAATCTAACAAACTGTTAATTGAAGGTCGATTTGTTTACATCCCTAACAGTGATCTGTTTTCTGTTTTATCTTTCTAGTGATGCTATTGCTGAAATCCGGGCTATTTGCATTGAGGAGATTGGAGTGTGGATGAAGCTGTACAGTGATGCCTTCCTCAATGACAGCTACTTGAAGTACGTTGGCTGGACAATGCATGACAAGGTGAGGAGTTTTTCTGAAGAACTTCTGTACAGGTTTTCCACCTGTTATATTTCAGTTTAGCTAACTTTTTAAAACGTTCATCAACAAATACTAAAAGAAACATGCTTTGGATTATTTTGACAACTGCATCTAAGAATTTGGTGTTTTCTTTGGACATGATGGTATGTTGTTTTGTTTTGTTAAAAAAAAAAAAATTCATCATTTGGGAGACAAAAAAATACTTTGAATAATTCAAAGTATGCTTAATTATTTTACGACAATTGATTTTGTCTCCCTGCCAGCTCCCAGATCAGCTTCTCTGATTGGTTGTTTTAGCACGTCAAGCAGCTGCTGCTCGAGACGCGCTGCAGGACCTACTGATGCGCCTTGATGCACATTATTCAACATGTAAAGCTGCAGTTTCTGATGCTTGGTGTGAATGTAGCATTAGAGTGTCAAAAGATGTATGCACTACTGCCAGTAATGGCTCTGATATTGACCAATTAGTTGGATTGGATATGGGATGAATGATGCTGATCCAGTCAATTCTATTTTTGATTATATTATACAGAAGAATTCAGTTACAGTGAAATTTTTTATCACCCTGCTGATTACATTATCACACAGAGCAGCACAGCAGCTAGTGATGACTTATCTGGTAATTTGTTACCATTCCTAAAAATGTTACTGTCAGTCATGATACCTTTATTCACATGGCGCAGTTTAGGGTTAATTTGTTCAACAGTACTATCAGATCGGTATCAAATATCGCCCATGTATTGGTATCGGATTGGATCAGAAAAAATGCATCATCTCTTAACTGCCAGTCTTTTGCTGTCTGTCAAGTTATTGACATATACTGAATATTCAAATCGTGTTGTCTGTGTTTCCAGCAAGGTGAGGTCCGGCTGAAGTGCCTGACTGCCCTGCAGGGGTTGTACTACAACAGAGAACTAGGCTCCCGCCTGGAGCTCTTCACCAGTCGCTTCAAGGTTAGCCCACCGGACGCTCAGCTGATCGTTCACACGTCATTTTTATTCATTGATTATGTGGATTTCTAATCATTCTGATCACCTCCTTTTAACTTGTGAAGGCATAAATTCTTCTGATGGCTTCTTTTCTGACAGGACCGGATTGTGTCAATGACTCTGGATAAAGAATATGATGTTGCAGTGCAAGCTGTTAAACTTCTGACACTCATTTTACAGTAAGAATCTTTGGTTATTCTTTAACTAAACTACAGATTTAATTCTGCATGATTATTCAACAGATAAATATTTCTACATTTTGAAGCTTTACATGGGCCCAGTTGATAAAAAAAAACATAAAAACCGTCATTTTAAAATAAAGTATTATCTGCCAAGCGTTTGTCTTGACAGTGTTAACTCTATCCTTTCTGACGTCTTTTTCACCGGGCGCTGGCAGGACTAACTCACATCCTTTAAATTGGCAGCTTCAGTAAAAAGAGAAATAAGCTCCAATAATTTTGAAAGCTGACAAGCAGAGAAAACTTTAAGAAATGTGATTTAAAAATCTAGAACTTTGGGGGCTCTGGTGAGGAATGTATGGCACAAGACACTTTTTCAGAGCTGCAAATCTGCAACATTTACATAAAAAAACTGCATTGATCTCATTAAAAACTGAAGAGAACACCTTGATGTAATATTAAAGCACTGCACCAGGCTGCTGTTGTTCGTAAAATGCTTAAATCTCAGAGAATAGAGACAGAACTAGTAGATATATGACGAAGTAGATTTCCCAGAACTCAAGTCTTCACTTTTCTCCAGCAGTCATGTATCCTTTTCAAGGATTGAGTATTTCTTTACACCAGAGTCAGAGCTACAGAAAACGGTATGTATAGAAATATTATACCTTCCATTATTACTAATCAGTACCTGTCTTATTAAAATGTCGGAGGCCAACACCTATCCCAGCCTAATGCATGCATGTGTCACAGAAGAGTTAGACATAGGAACGAATATATCTGCAGAAACAACACAGCTGATAATATGGGATTGGACCAAAGCATTTCTTTAAGGTCGCATCATTTTCTTCACATTTGCAAGGAAGAAACAGAAGAATGCTAAACAGCAAGATTTGGAGGACGAAATAATAGAATTAGAGTCTAAGCAAACAAGATCAGCAAACATCATGAAGGATTTAAACACAACCTGCAGACAACACAACAGCCTGTTGTCAGATAAAGGCTCGCTAACTAGAAACATTATGAATTTGGACAGAAGGCGAGCAGATTATTAGCATTTACACAAAGGACACAGCAGTCCTCTAACAAGATTCATAAAACTCAATCCCGGGAGACAAAATAGCAAATCCTTAGCAGAATTTTAATAATTATTAATGTATTTTCTGGACTAAAAGTTGTTACTTTTTCCCCCTACTTTGAACCATGTGGTTTATAAGAAGGTGCAGCTTTTTGTGGATTTTTCCTAACAGCCAGAGGGGGAAGTCAAAGTTGGACATGAAAGAATAAGGGGCTAATTTTCATTTAGCACAAGAACATGCTAGCAGCAGGCACGACAGAGAACATATGTCCTGAATTCACACATTTTCGCATTTATTTGCTGCATTAAAGCTGCTGAACCAATAAAGAGATTGGGCTCAACTCCTGCAGAGCTGAAATAAAGAGCTGATGAAGCCCCATCTTTCATTAGAAGCTCTTCCTGCTGTGAACCAACAAGCTAACAGGAGTTGGCATTCTTCTTCTTTTCCAGGGCCTATATGTAGAGCTCCCCCTACAGGTTTGGTGGGAGACATTTCACTAGATATTAGTGGCTTATAGCCCGGTGCAGCTTGTTAAAAATAAATAAAAAATGAAACTTTTAAAAACTTCTTAATTAAAAAAGGTGTTTGAGATCCATTCATACAGGGTAGGAAAGAGTTGAACCAATATTTGGTCCATTTATGAAACACATTTTCTTACAAATGTCCTTTTTTTTAAAAAACAAACAAACATGTTCTTTGCTTTTAATAATATTTCAACAAGTTTCTTGCTATACTCCATTTTAGCTTCGGCTTCTTTTACCACCAGCGTTAAAATTTAATTCCTGGTGCTGCTTGTTTCCATTACGTCCTTGTTTACTCCGTGTCTGCCTGTGCCATACCGAACCTCCAGTTACGTAGACTTGTTATGGTAAAAAGAGAAACGCTAAATCTTATTAACTGATAGAACGGAAAAAAGTGTAAAAAATAGAAATAAGGTACACAGAGTCAATAGGGTGCCATAATCTAATCAGAAAGTCTTTGTACACAACCAAAGTGAGCTACTGGCTCACTAGTCATAGTGACACTGGGCCCCTGTAAAAGTGTTTTAACCATTGTCTTTCTAATTGCCTTAAGAATTTGTTGAAAAATCAAATATTTAAAAACCATTTAATTTTTTTGTTTTAATACTCTGATTTAAAGCTGGTTATATTCCTGTTTCCAACAGGAGCAGCGATGAGGTTCTGACAGCAGAGGACTGTGAGAGCGTCTATCACCTGGTTTACTCTGCACACCGACCTATCGCTGTTTCTGCAGGAGAATTTCTGTTTAAAAAGTAAGTAATGATCTGTCTGCCCACCATAAAGCTTCATTTATACTGCAACATCAAACAGGGTTTCAGGGTGCGTGCGCCAATAGTGACGTAATTGTGCTGCCCATGCCCCTGAGCGCGGACCGCGTGCGCAGCCTCTGCACTAGGTCTCGCACCTCCAGATATTTGTAACTTGGTGTCATTCCAAATAGCAGGATATAAAGTTGTTGTCAGTGAACAAGTTTTGCATTTACTGAAATCAAATGGTTCAGAAGGTTCCAGTGGATCATGTGGTTCAATGCAGTGTTATTCCTGTTCATTCAATGACTAAAAACAGCAAATGGGGGAGAGTTCATTGGCAAAGCTGGTGCTAAAACAGGGATTTTTTTTTCTGTTTCCAACACATACAATATAAATAAAGTCTGAAAATACTACTCATAGTATACAGTGCATTAAGCTTTATTTAGTCAAACAACTTCTTTGTATATGTTATTTTCTTTTAAAGAGAGAGGCCCATATGGGCTTCACATTCTACTTGTGTTTATCAATGAACACACATGGATAAAAATGTTAGTATCCCTCAATTATTGCTTATTATTGCAATTATTGCTTAACCAATCTTTAACAGAAGGATTTTAGATAATAAACTCATGAAACAGACCTGGACTGTGAGAAATATTTAGTTTTATTCTGGTAGTTAAAGCTTTTACTACCTCAAAAACGCTGCATATATTCACTTCTACCTGCCACGAATAGCAGCAGGAAATCTCCCAGCTAATGGTCAGCTGTTGCTGTGTATTCCCAGCGCCCGCCTTTATTTAAGGTCTGCCACTCAAAACAAACAGAATATTTCACATTAGGACCATAATCCCTTTTCACATATCTATTTTTCTCAATCATCAAAGTACATAAAGAAAATTCCCTCTGCCACTGGACATAGACTGGCAGCGGGCATCCATCATGTCTACTTCCAACATAATGGATGCTGCTGTTACTCCTTGTTTAAAGCTGCTTTCTTTTGTGACTGAAGACTCTTCAGCCATCGAGGTCCAGAAGAAGAGGGTCTACCGAGGAGAGGAAGGCAGAGCCTCAACGGCAGCTTGATCAAGACTACGGTCTTCTTCTTCTTGGAGAGCGAGGTAACCAAGCATTTGACGTGCTGATTCTTATTTTCTTAGTGATCATTTATGAAACGTGTTTGAAGAACAGACGTCGTGACATCAGCAGCTTTGATTTGTCTTCTCTAAGTAATGGTGTGTTCACTCCTGTATCCCATGAAGAGGTGCGTTCAGGAGCGCAGCAATGCTAAGCTATGTGCGGACATGCTCATAGCGATTAGAGCAACACCTATGATGGAGGGTCAGCGACTCTTTCCGGAGTTAAATAATCTAACTTTTCTGTCAATGCCGGCATCGCGATAACCAAATGGGGACTGGATGTGGCTGTGATGTAGGCCTGAAACGAATAATCAGATAAATCACCATCAATTGATTATTGAAATAATAATCCACTAATGTAGTAATCGATTCATCATTAACTAGAGTATAGAGACTTAAAACATGCCTTTAGCTGACAGAGCGACCCATTTACAGCAGTAATTATACCAAGATTGTAAAAAATATATATAAACATTTTTCATTTAAGATTGAAAAAAAAAATGTCTCTGTCAATATGCCCTATCTAGAACTCCTCAAGTGGAAAAGTTTTACTTTGACCTGGTTTCATTTTTTATTTTGTAAATTTTGTAAAATCAAATAATCGAATGATTAATTGCTAAGCAAAATAATCGTTAGTTGCAGCCTTACTGTGATGAAGGGTGAAGGAACGTTGCAGAAGAAGAATCAAAATGGAAGAACAAATGATGCTGGTATGGGATGAAGCAAGGAATGCTCCTCAGAGTTTTTAAAAAGCTGCTGTATTTAAGCCCTAGAAGGACTATTAAATGGCTCATCCTCCATGCTCCTCATGTGTCCTGCAGCCTCTAGGCTGATTGGTCCCACTGCGTTGGACAGTTTTTAAATGCAGATTATTTTGACATCAATCTAAATGAGCCTCGATATGTGCTGCTGATTTCTTTTAAAAGCCGTTTCTTTTGGCCAGTATTGCTGTTTGTTCCTCTGCTTACATGATTAAAATTACACAAATGTTACACTGGTCTCTTAATTAAAAAAGAAACGTTATTAATGGGTCAAACAAAACATTAACAATAAATAGCAGATAGAGGTACACTGCAAAAAAATGTAAATCTAAATAAGTAATTTGTTCTTAAAATAAGTGCATTTTTTCTTGAATTGAGGAGTTAAGTGAGACACTTTGCTAATGGAACAAGATAATTTACATTTGAAATAAGAAAAAACTATTGCATTATCGTATTTCAAGTGCATATTATCTAACTATCTTATTTTAAATGTAAAAATACTCATTCCATTGGCAAACTATCTTATTTTCCTGCTCAAATTAAGGGTAAATACACTTAATTTAAGAAATATTTACTTAATTTCAGATCGTTTTTGCAGTGTAGCAGCAACGCATAAGCCTGATGAGATCTCATGGCATGGCGAACGACAAACCCATGCACGCATTGGTCGACACGATACCAGAAAAAGCTAAAACGCTAAGAATAGCCAAAAATATTCAAATTGCTGCCGATACGTGAAGCATGCTGCAGCACCTGAAGGCGGCGGCTAAACTGTGCTTGTTGTGAACGCACCAGAGGAATCTGAACAGTGTTGCTGTCAATCAGACCAGCAAGCTTTGGTGAACGGTGCGTTCACTGATCAAAAAAGGAGGGATTTTGGATTTTAGCACCAGCTGATCACTTTTTTTAGGGTCGATCATGTTTACAGTCGGTCAGTTTGTCTTCCTTATGGTGTTGTCCTGGAATCTGATTTTCCAATAGCTCCATGAACACGGCGCCTATCTGGTGGACAGCCTGTGGGAGTGTGCGTCAGAGCTGCTGAAGGACTGGGAAACCATGATCAGCCTGTTGCTGGATGAACCCATGCCAGGAGAGGAGGGTAAGCAGACAAACATAAAGCCAATTTATAATTAAGCAGCGTTTACACCAGTCCTTGAAATCCTTGACGTTTTTTGAAAGCTGTTGGAAAGGTTTTCAAAACAGCCATAAAGAAACACACCTACCTTAAATGATTTTTGCATGGACATATTTAGTGATGTTTGGTTTATCCTTAAAGCGTAAGTGAGAATTTCTGCACCGCAAAGCTCTGAGAGTTTGTGACCATGCAGACAGATCCCTGCAGAAAACATGGCAAATGAGCAACAGATCCTGCTAGCGAGGGTCCTGCTAGAGATCCTGTGATTTAGCTTATAAATATCACCACTATCAACAGATTGTGGAAAGACTCATGGAAAGAAATGACTGTCACCCCTGGACGTCACAAAGAGACTATGATAAAGTTGTAAACGGCTGTTTTTTACTTCCTCGTGTAGTGTGGTGTATGGCTGGGCGATATGAAGAAAATCTAATATCGCGATATATTTGGACTATAATCGCGATACACGATGTATATCTCCATATGTTTAGATTACCTTTGGAACAATAGAGTACATAATATTGCACTGATATCCTCATTCAAACTTTTGGTTTCAAATTTAAAACATTTATTTTAACCAGCTCAAAGCTTTTCTGCCACATAATGTCTTTGGGTGTTAGTATTAGACCTTTAACAAGATCCCTACAACCAAATAAGAAACAAAACAAAATCAATAATACTATAAATACTAAATAAAATGTACAATTAAAAAAGGGCTCTTTTGTACATAATCAAATAAAAAATGCTGGATAAAGACAAAGAAATTGACCTTAAATTACAAAAAAAAATTGGAAATGATTTTTTAGATTAAGTATATTCGATATATCGCCCACCCCTAGTATGTCATTCTTTGCACTAAACTGCCTTCATACAGCTTAATGCTACGTTCACACCACTTGAAGCAGCAGAAGCAGCTCGTTTACATCCAAAGTCAACGGTTGACGTGCATTGAGGAGCATCTAAAGGTCATGCAGCGCGCCTAGAGCAGCTGAAGCAGCGCTTCATGAGCTTTTGAGCATCTCAGGCGCGTGACGTGCTCCACAATCAGCAGCTGCTTGAGTTGGAAAAATGGAACTTTTGCTGCTCAACGCACCACATCAACCAATCAGACAAGCTGATCTGGGAGCTGGCAGGGAGACAGACACAGCGCTGCTGATGCTGAGCTCTATGATCACTCCCCTGAAACAGTTTATCAACGCCTAAAATAACTTAAAATGTCCAAACGTGCCGGCAAATTATATTCACTTTATCCTGATGCCTGCAGTTTGTACCACATACCTGAAAAACGGTAGAGGAAAACCCACAAGAGGTGACTGTTCCTGATGTAGCTGCTGCTGCTTCCCAGTGACAGCGCACCGCCGGTATGTGGGGGTCTGAGCGGCTCTGACAGAGAAATAATATTTGAAGGCAGGATGGTAATCTGGATGAACTGACTGCACAGATGGATGTTTTCAGCTGGACTTTCTCACTTAAAAATATATTAAAACTACTTTTTACCCACTGATCACAGCAAATTTAGCAAAGCCGCTCTCTGCCATTGAACACAGGAGCAGCAGAAACATCAGACGCATCTGGACGCACTTTACTGGATATCTGATCTTAATGTGGAAAAGCATCAAAATTGAAGCAGCAGAACGTTTTAAAGCTCATTCAAAGGCCAGAACACCAAATACAATTTTGAGTCAGATCCGATAGAAAATTGCGCCTTACAGGTCGTGGCATATAGCGCTCATTGTAAGTCAATGGGGATGATCACAGCAGACACGATTTCCTTCAGGGCGCTGCGTAGCTCCAACTGAGATAGAGCCCAGGTCAATTTTTCTCGGACCATGTAGCAATTCAGCAGTAATTTCATGCATCTGACCGGGAAGAGAGAGGCGGTTACAAAGTAAAACACATCCGCTTTGGGGGAAAGTAAAAAATCTGTAAATCTCACAGTCCTTTTTATTTCATTTGTAATATATACAAATAGCGCTGGATAATAAATCATTATCATTATCAGCTGACCGGCAATTGGGGGATCACAGGTCCTCAGCCCCGGTCCCATGGCGGCCTAGTGGTTAGGGCATAGAGCTTGGAAGCCAGAGGTTCTGATTTCAAGCCCCACTCCCACAAACTGCCACTCTGGGTCCCTGAGCAAGACCCTTAACCGCACAATGGCAGCAATGTCTGCATTTAACCCAGTGGGATGGGTTAAATGCAGAGAGTTCATTTCGTTGCTCTGCATTTTTGACAATATAATGACAATAAAACGCTGAAAAAGGAAAAAAAAAAAAACAATGTCCCAATGGGATTTTATCCAATGACATTGCCCATTTTTTATATTTCAATGTAGGCTGCAGTCTGTGGCTTGTTTTTACTCTATAGGAACAGCAGCAGCACAAAAAATAGGGCTTAGGTCTGTTTGGTTTTTACTAAAGTTAAGAAGTGCAAAAAAAAAGCAGGCTTCTACTAACAATCAGATCACCATTTTAAAGCACTGCCCACTGCGTCAGTATGGTTTATTAAAAAGTAAGGTTATTCTGAATAAATTCAGAGCTAGTTATGTGTAATTAGTTGTTTTGCTAATTTATCATAATGAGTTGTCAATATAGTCTTTCAGCTTAAGTTTGCTTTCTTTAAAAAAATTGAAAGTTAACTACAGAAAAATAGAGGAGGCGATAATGGAGAAACTGAAAGAAGCAAGAAATATAAGGAGGGAGAGATGATCACCAGTTAAATGTGCATTTCATCTGTTGAAGATGTGTTTATTGTTTTTCTTTTAATAATTTCAAAACTTTTATATTAAAGTATTTCATGGACTTGGGATAATAATGTTTAGATGTTAATACAGAACTCAGCTTTAGGCTTCCTATGCAGTTTTTCTGTGGCTTTTATATTGTTTTTATCAAAATTGTAATTTATTCCTATCGATTAGAATTAGAAAACATATCAGGATATAAGTGTTTATCATTTGGGGCATATTTATTGTTTATTAGAAAAAAATTTCTGTATGAAAAGGCTGCTGTGTCCTTTAACTTAAGAGAAAATGTCCTTGAAAAGTCCGTGAATTGGATGTTAACCAAGGGATGAGAACCTTGATTAAGCAAATGAATGATCATCCCATGATGTCAGGTGTTCTAACTGTTTTTCCTTTCTTTCATTCTGCAGCCCTCACAGATCGACAGGAGACGGCCTTGGTTGAGATTATGCTCTCTGCCATCCGACAGGCATGTGAATGTCATCCTCCGGTCGGCAGAGGCACGGGAAAGAGGGTAAGAGGCACAAAGAAAAGAACAACTATGACCCAAATAGGTTTGTGTTGGTGATTTGGGAAGGTTTTTTTTTTTCTGTGTGCATCAGGTCTTAACTGCAAAAGAGAAGAAAACTCAGCTGGACGATCGGACACGGATCACAGAAATGTTTGCAGTTGCGTTACCTCTACTGTTAGCGAAGGTGACCGCACGCGTTCTGCATTTTACCCCAATCAGAGTGCATCTTACTTTGAAAGGTTTCAACCAAACTCTTGCTGTTTTCTCGCAGTACTGCGTCGACATCGATAAGGTGACCAATTTACTTCAAATACCAAAATACTTTGATCTTGACATCTACACCACCGGCCGGTTAGAAAAGGTTTGTGAGGTTTCTGTAGTCTGAAGACTTTTAATTTGAAGGGCACATCTCATTTGGTGCCAGTAAAATAATCTCCATATTTTCAGCATATGGATGCCTTGCTGCGCCAAATCTGGGAGGTTGTGGATAAGCACACAGACACCGAAGTCTTGGAGGCCTGTTCTACAACCTACCACTACCTCTGCAACGAGGAGTTCACCATCTTCAACCGCGTGGACATTGCCTGCTCGCAACTCCTTGACGAGTTGGTGGACAAATTCAACAGACTTCTGGAGGACTTCCTGCAGGAGGTAGTTTGATTCGGGTGTTTCTACGCTTTTAGAATGCGTCCATGAGGATAATTCTGAAGCAAAGTTATTCCAAGTGTTTTAAAGATTTGATCTTTGGTTCCTCAGGGGGAAGAACCAGATGAGGATGATGCCTACCAAGTTCTATCAACTCTTAAGAAGATCACTGCTTTTCACAAGTAAAACTTTACTCACTGATATTTAAGTTATAAGTTCACGGCTCTGTGTTGATGCTCTCCTTCGCAATGGTCTGCTTCTTCCCCAACCAGTGCTCATGATCTCTCCAAGTGGGACCTGTTCACCAGCAACTACCGACTACTCAGCATTGGTTTGCAGAATGGGGACATGCCAGAACAGGTATCTCAGCCCTTAAATGTCACTAACTATCCTTAAATAATTAATTAGTATCACATCTTATTTGTGTTTGGTTTATTTATTAAGCAAAAAATCTTCTGTAACAATTTTATTTTACTGCTGACTTCAACTTAAATATGAAGAACTGGGAGCGTCACTGTGTCTTGCTAACTTTTGTCCCTGCAGATTGTGATTCATGCAATGCAGTGCACGCATTACATAGTCCTCTGGCATCTCGCTAAGATTTCGGACGGCAGTTCCATAAAGGTACTGATTTTTAAAGCTGACTTTAGGTAACTCATTAAAAAGATGATTTAACTGTAAAACTGTTTGCATATGGATGGCAAATAAGACACTTCACAAACTGCTAATCTGTTAGCTCACTGGGTAAAGAAGTTTAAGAAGGCTTTATCTTTGTTTTGAGAATATATATCATTAATTTAAGAGGTCTTAGCAAATGCAACTTATTTTGAGTACATTTTTCCTTAAAAAGTTATAAAATATAACAGAATCTGATCTTTATTTTTATTTATTTCTATAACGTCAATTCACGACACATGTCACCTCAAGAAACTTTCAAGAGACAATTCAACCAAATCATATAATCAAACTGATTCAAAACCAGTTGATTCATTGACTAGAAGGCAATCTCTCACACTAAGCATTTTTGTAGCGATAGTAGAGAGGAAAACTCCGTTTTAACAGGAAGAACCTTCAGTAGAACCAGGCTCGGTGTGAGCGGCCATCTGCTGAGGCTGATTGGGGTTCAAGGAGACAGAAACAGACATTGGAAAAAGAAGCAGAGATACAAAAGGCAACTGTCAACCAGCTCCACAGGAGGCCCCATCCTGGAAACACACAGCCAGGCAGACGAGCTTCGAGCCACATCCCATGTCAGAGGATGAAAGAGAGCACATCCAGCCAGTCACAGTCAGAGAAACAGGACTATACTGAAAAATAGGCCGATCGCCAGCATCTACAAACAAAGATGTTGATGGCAGAAGAACAGCTGATATTTCTCTCCAGGATGGAGTAACAGCCAAAGAAGAACAGACCAGAGGAAGCTACTGTGGTGAGAAAAAGCAGAGAGAGCAGAACGTTAGAGTGTGAACTAACCAATACTGCAGAATGGGAGAATAGAGATAGAAAGATGACAAAGGGGTCCTTATGTCCTCCAGCAGTCTAAGCATATAGCAGCATACCTATAGAGATAACTAAGGATAACCTGATCGCCTCTTAACTATAAGGTTTATTAAAAAAAAAAGTTTTAAGCCCACTCTGAAAAGTAGACAGGGCGTCTGCCTCACAGACTAAAGCTAGTATTGGTTTCCACAGGAAGGGAGCCTGATAACTAAAAGATCTGCCTCCTATTCTACTTTTAGAAATTCTAGGAACCACTAGTAAACCTGCAGATTGAGAGCGAAGTGCTCTGTTAGGAACATAAGGAACAATCAGATATCTGGTATCAGATGGAACTTTGTTATTTAATGCTTTATATGTGAGAAGGAGGATTTTAAATTATATTCTGGATTTAACAGGAAGCCAATGAAGAGAAGCTAGAAGACTTTAATATATGAGTAGATGGACAGTTTTTGCAATGCATATTGTACCTTGTCCTCGTCCTCTCTTCTCCAGTTTTTTTGGATTTAGGTTTGGGGATTGAAACGGACCTGGAGAGCAGTTGTTTATCTATCTGGTAAACCATTTCTGTGTTAATCTGGGCATATGGTTAAGGATCATGTAGTGATGAAGTATTTTTCAGTTTACTGGTGTAGACTACCAGGTTGTAATGTAAAATATCCAGGTTATTCAAAGACTTAACGATGCCCAACCTTCCAACAACCTTCCCAGGGTCTATAGAAGAGAATCCAGCCCATAGCATAGAACCTTAATTAGTTTAATTCATGATCACATTAAACTGACTTTTGACAAAGCATAACTCTTTGTCTCATCAAAGCACACAGCTCCAGTTAAAGTGACCATTTTATGGGGAAAGAGTCGTTAAAGATTAATTAATACGACTACTCTTACAGTTACTACTAATCTATCAGGTAATTTATCATACAATATCAATGAAATTTTTTAATTTAACATAAGGGTAAAAACAACAAATGATGATTAAAATATATTATATAAAACTGTACTATACATTAAGGCTCTCTTTAATACCATTCCTATTAACTGACTAGCAAACTAGATATGTTAGTTAGTTACTAGATATGTTATTATTCATCCACAAACACTTCATATTTCATTTATAAATTTTTAAAATGAATGAAACCTATTAGGCATGCTAAACAAGGTGATGACAAATGTTTAATATGCTTACAAGGTAGTGACTTAGTCTGAAATGTTGAATATGAGCAACACTAGATGAAATATGTTGGTAAACAGAATAGGGTCACTATTTGGCATGACACATGTCAGATTTTCCGCCCCTTTAATAAATGCAAAGTAATGACTTAGGAAGGGGGATATAAAACACCCTAAACTAGGTTTAAATAAAAAAAAATGTATGTTATTGTCTATGCTGGTGGATGTCTTTGTGGACCATAATGCAGAGTAGAAGAGGCAGGGATGATTTCTTGCAAAATATAATTGAGCAAAAATACAGAATCCGTAATCTAGAACGAGCGACAAGAAAACTCAAGAACCAATAAAAAAAAACGGAGACACTAGGGAGGAATAAACCTAAAGAATGACGACGATCCAGCATTGAGTAGATGAACAGGAGGTATATATATGGGAGACAGAAACAATGGGACTAATTGATTGATAGGGAGCAGGTGTGGACAGGAGTAACTAGAAGGAGCTAAGGAGAAAGGAAAGGACACTAGGGGCAGGAAAACTGAGAATACAAAAAAGAATGTATATCTAGAGTAGGGCTGAAACAATTAATCATGATTGATCAATTATTGAAACAATCAGCAAAGTCATATCCAGGTCAAAACAATCCACTGGACTTTCGTTTACAAGTTTGAAGACGTTTCGCTTCCCATCCATATCTGCTTTAACAAGCTTAATCAATTACAATTGTCAGAAATAGCAGTGAGTTTGAGGCTTTAGAGAGTGGGCCAAGAAAAAAACGCCTTATTTTGGCTTCGAAGAGATGCAAATTGAACTGGATGAACGGGTCCGCACTTTTGGAATGTGCAGTTTGGGTTCTTTTTTAACCTGCAATGTGCGACGCTGGTCTTTGTCTCTGAAAGGGGGGTTGTTAGGGGCAATTGTTGGCCTGGCTGACAGGCGAGACATTCTGGTCCCATGTATGGTGGTGGGATGATAGCGGGAAGGAATCAACTCTTGAGTTTTGTGTACACTGTGTGTACAATAAAGTTTGTCTAAGTCTGGTTTTCCCTAGATAGAAAACTTTGAATCAGTTTTACTGGATGATCTCGCTGAATTGTCTCTGTAAAGTGAACTGAAATGACATTTTTTATTTATTTCATCCAATTCACATGTGTTTTGAATTTGTGCTATATAAATAAACTGAACTGAGTTGAATTCTTCTTCTAATAATTCCGAGCCTCTCATACATTCTATGCGCTATTCCTAAAGGCTACTGACGATGCAGGAGACCCCATTGTGCAGGTCTGCAGCCAGGCCTCCCTCAAAACTGTACATAAAAATGTTTCTAAAAAAAAATTAAAGGAAATTATTTGTTTTTACTTTGTGTTTTCACCAATTCAATTTCAATTCAGTTTATTTATATTCACAACACTGATTCGCAACACATGTCATTTCAAGGCACTTTACAATTCAACAGTATGTGTGGTGCACCAGAGGTGCTAATCATTCTCCTGCTTCTTCTAGGGGGATTTGGTGACTTTGAGGAAAGAGATGAGAGCTTTCTGCTTAATATGTCAGCGCTACCTGAACAGCATCAGCACAGCAGTGAAGGAGCAGGTGAGACCGTGATTATTCCGTCCTTATTTCCTGCACCTCTGAATGCGATCGATCTGCATTTATAAATTATTGCTGTGTCCATTCTAGGCATTCACTATACTGTGTGATATGCTGCTGATCTTCAGTCACCAAATCATGTCGTCAGGCCGGGAACACCTGGAGAATCTGGTCTATGCGCCAGATTCTTCCCTGCAAGCAGAACTGCTCAACTTCATCTTGGATCAGGTTTTTATTGACCAGGATGATGACAGCAACAGTGCAGGTTTGAACCTACTCCACTGATAGCTTGTTTTACACATTTTTCATAAATTATTTCAACAGTCATGTTTATTTTCATATTAGATGGACAACAGGATGATGAGGCCAGTAAAATCGAGGCTCTTCACAAGAGGAGAAACCTTCTTGCTGCTTATTGCAAATTAATCATTTACAATGTGGTTGAAATGAACACTGGAGCAGATATATTTAAGCAGTACATGAGAGTGAGTAAAGAAATCTAAGCATTGTACAGTTGGTAATATCTTTTTCTGTTTTATAATGATCCTTTTTGTTCTTTTCCCTCAGTATTACAATGATTATGGTGACATCATCAAAGAAACGATGAGTAAAACAAGACAAATTGACAAAATACAGTGTGCAAAGACGCTCATATTGAGCCTGCAAAAGGTAAACATCCTGAGAGAGATTCTCTCCAAAGCCTCCCTGTTCTACATCTTATAGCTCAAGTTAGCATGAAGCTTGTTGTCCAGCAAACATTTCTCTAAATTAGGATGGCAAGGTAATGGATAATTAATTAATTTAATCCATTTAATACAATTCAGTTGGTTAATAACATTATTTTTTTCTTTTCATTTATGAGCAGCTATTTTCTTAACCTAAATTTTCTCTTGTATCAAGATAACTTTTACATAAGATTAAAGGCTAGATATTGTTTGTACAATATGCTGAGTTATTAGTACCTAATTACTTTATTAATTTATTGCCCCATCTGTATTAGATAGAGATTGAATAAACTATCAAAGGGTTCTCATACATTATGAATCATTTTTATCGTATGACAAAACAGGTTATTGAATAAATAAAAGCTTAATAAAATATGTGAAACACTGAAATGGGCGCTAAGTGAGAGCTAGCTTTCTGTTGTTGTAATCCAACAATTAGTTTGTGCCGCTAGCAGCGCTTTTAAACAGGCAGTTCTGGTCCTGTTTGCTCTGAGAGGAATGTTAAAATGTGGCTCCATGAGGAGCATTAACTCATAAAGTCTACCCATCAGCCGTGCTAATTGCTAGCATGTCTTCTTCTGTCATGTTCAGAAAGTTTAGCGTAGTCCTTAGTGTTTGTCAACTCCTCAGCAAGAAAAGTTGCTATTTGCTGTCCTAAAGGGAGCTATAAGGCACTAGATGACATTATTGCCTAATTTGCATAACTAATGTCATGAATGAGGCTGTGGAATGAAAATGCAGTTATTTCAGGTGATACAACACTGTCAGTTAGAAATTATTGTGATGACGATGATACAATTTGGCAGTCTAGGTCAGGATTAGGAGCAGCTTTGCATAGGCACATTGAATTAGAGAGAGAGAGGGTGAGGGAGAGAGACAGGGTGAGGAAGAGTGAGAGACAGAGAGAGAGGTTGAAGAAAGAGAGGGTGAGGGAGAGAGACAGGGTGAGGAAGAGTGAGAGACAGAGAGAGAGGTTGAAGAAAGAGAGGGTGAGGGAGAGAGGACGAGAGGCAGAAGCCCCATTTACTCTACCCTCTGAAAACCTATCGGTGCCGAGCTTGGATCAGTTAAGCATGCTGAGCTCTGTACCTTACGGCTGTTTACACACCACGTTAGCATGGTTCCACGCCTCCTAGTGGTGATCTACAGTGCTACTGCTCCCTAGAGGTAAACAAGAAAAACAACATGGTTTGGATATAATTGTGATAATTTCATTGTTTGTGGAGAGTTGGGCAAAGAAGACAACCTTTGGTAAATTTACTTGACGGTCGGCTTTTGGGAAGTGGATACACAAAACAATAGACAAAAGGTGTTGAGGGTCATCACACTGCTAAGTCGAATCATCACTGGAAAACGTGTGGCACGGTTGCCAAGCTATTGTTTTTATGAATGTCTGAAACTTCATGATTACGGAGGCTGACTGTAAGGAGATGCTCATGCGCCCTTTGTTATCTAAAAACTGAGCCTTAACTGAACCACGCCGAGCCCTACTGATGAACTTGTACCATTTTAGCACGGTTCGGTTGTGTCTGGCACAGTCTGGTTCAGTTGTTCGTGCCATTTACACTCAACAGTTATCTCGGTTACGGTGCTCGGACCGATCTCGGCACGGTTTCAAAAAGGTAGTGTAAATGGTGCATATGTCACCAAAGTCAATTTACACAGAAAAAAAATTGTGCAATTTTGTTAAATATAGCCACTGAAAAAGGTGATAGATATAGTGACAAATGTGCTAAGTTGGCAACACTGAATGCCCTCCACTTTTCTATCACCCTGTCCTTCTGATCCCAGCAGAGAAGTTCTGCTGCTCCTCCATGCCACTGCATGGATGGGTTAAAGCAGAGTGAATTTCCCCAATAAGTTCAATTTCTATTTATAGTGATTCTATTATAATTCTATTTCTATTTATAATGATTTATCACAAGAACATATTAGCAGTAGGCAAGACGGAGAACAAATGTCCCAAATTCACACATTTCGACATTTATTTGCCGCATTAAAGGTGCCAAACCAATGAAGAGACTCCTGCAGAGCTGAAATAAAGAGCAGACGAAACCTCATCTTTCATTAGAAGCTCTTCCTGCTGCGAGCCCACAAGTTATTGGGAGCTAATATTCTTTTTCTTCCCTACTCCAGGGGCTATATGTAGAGCTCCCCCTACAGGTTTGGAGGGAGACAGTTCAGTAAAAATCAGCAGCTTATAGCCCGCTGCTTCTTAAATGTTTCCAGTTTTTTCAAAACATTTTGTGGCCGCGGCTTATAGTGAGGTGTGCTCTATAGTCTGGAAAATACAGTACTTATTTAGCAGTTTTCTCTTGTAAATATAAAGTTGAAGCAATTTAAGGAATTAATTTCAATTCAATTAAATTCAGTTTATTTATATAGCGCCAAATTCACAACACAAGTCATCTCAAGGCACTTTGCAGTTCAACCAGATCATACAGTCATCATACAGTGTAATCATACAATTACACAAATAAGAGTTTGCTGGGTTTTTGATAACAGCACAGTTCAGGAACTAGAATTTATACTTTTTAACCAGGAAAACACGAGTAGAAACTTTTCAAGCAGTGTGAAAACAAATTTCTATCTTTATTTATGCAAGTAAGATGTGCCATGTTTTATACCACTGACTGATGGATTCCTGTTTTTTTTAACACATCTGAGGTGCCCTAACTAAAATATAATTAATCTGTTATTTTGTCTTTTTTTTTTTTTTTTGCTGCAGTTATTCAATGAGATGATGTCAGAACTGGGTTTTAACTTTGACCGCTCGTCATCAGCTTTCTGTGGTATAAAGGAACTGGCTCGACGCTTCTCCCTCACCTTCGGTTTGGATCAGTTAAAAACCAGGGAGGCAATCGCCATGTTACACAAGTGAGTGCCTGTCCTGACTAGGGTTGTCAAAAATATGTAAATACGGATACGCAAAGACTTAATGAGGATAAAATACAAATTTGGCATCCTATCAATATTAAAGTAACATTTTGCTTGTAAATTTTTTGATTTCTGTATTAGTTGCACATTAAAGGAAAAGTCTGGTCAGCAAAGAATAACCAATGGATAATTATATATAGCTTAAACTAATACATTCGTGGTAATTTAATAAATTTAGCAGTAAGAAAATAAAAACAATAATTTTCGCTGCGATCACTGATCCGGGACCGGCCATTTTTGCCCAAATATAGTAACAGCTCACTCCTGACATCTTCCAGCAGTGATGTCACGGTGCGGTAAGCCTAGCGTCATTCTCCCCGCTTTACAAGTAAAATCAATGGGAGCTACTAGACACATCTGCAATCAACAACAATTATTTTAAATTTCGAGAGGACTTTGAGAGAAATTCGAGAGAGCTATAGTTAATGTGACAATGCCCACGTGCATGGCAGTTGGATGTTTTAATACATCAGATAAAAGTGAAGAAAAAATGTGTTATTTCACCTTTCCGATTCATGATCCACCACGGGTTTGTCGATGGATTGCCAAATTAAGGAGGGAGGATTTGCCATTGAACATCTGGCCAGAGAAAAAAAAAACAAACATAATATGTAGAAGAAGAAGATTGTTATCAAGAGGCCTTGGATAATAGCGGGTTGTAACAAACACCAGATACAGCACTGGGACTTGCTAAACAGCTTATAATATACTTAATTAAAACACTTATCATTTATTGAACAGTATGTAATACTTTAATATTTTAAGTACTGTCAGAAGGTTGAATTCTGAATATGACCGGACTTTTCCTTTAAAAGAAGAAGGGCTCTGACAACCTTAAAATATTGTCACATAATGTTATATTTGGGTTATTTATTAAACTGTGGTTCTGTAGGGAAAACATGTTCCATGTTACAATGAAAAAGTGAAGTTTTACAGGGTTTTTCTTCAAGCCTATAATTACCATGTCAGTTATTAATAAAGGGCATGAAGTGTCGGATATTTTCCCTGAGTGTCGATACCGTGTTTAAAATACTAGCATTGTGAGAATCCTAGTCATAAACAACATTTAGGCTTTACACAGTTTGTCTTTTAATGGGTGAAAAATCTTCTTTCAGAGACGGGATAGAGTTTGCTTTTAAAGAACCGAGTCCACAAGGCGAAGGGGGTCCGCCACTTAATCTGCCATTTTTGGATATCTTAAGCGAGTTTTCCAGCAAACTCATCCGACAGGACAAGAGGACAGTGTAAGTTTGCTGCCGGATATACATTTGTGATTAACCCTGAGAGGAGCTTTAATCCTGATTGTCCTTCTGCACTCTGCAGTCACATGTACCTGGAGCGATTTATGACATTTCAAATGGCCCTTCAGAGAGACGACTGCTGGCTGCCCCTCATCTCCTACCGGAACTCTCTGCAGGCCGGGATGGACGATGACACCATGTCTGTCATCAGTGGGATCAGCAGTCGAGGGTCGACTGTTCGGAGTAAGAAGTCCAAACCAGCCGCTGCAAGCAAGAGAAAACTGCCTGAAGGTGAGATTATTCATACACTGTTAAAAAAATCTCAGCGCTGCCTTTTGTTTGTCAAAAAGACAACTTCTTATCTCTAGTTCATCTCAGAAGTTCATCTTTTGGGACCTGTACACTATAGTGCTAAAAGCATTCGCTCACCAATTCAAATGATTGAAATCCAGTGTTCCAGTCTCTCCGATTGCTGCAGGTGTAAAAGATCAGCCTGCTCAATACATTTGTGAATGAATGGGTTGCTCTCAGGAGCTCAGAGAAACTTTAGCTCGGTTCTCTGATTGGACGCCTTCCAGTCATAAAATGACTTTGCTCCTAAAGCAGTGGTGTCAGAACAAAGTGGAAGGAGGGGGCAGTGGATGCTGAGGCGCGTAGGGCTAACACTATGTTCACACCGTACATGTTTTGAGCAGGAAAAAAGATTCTGATGCATAATTTCTGATGCTTGTTCACATTGTCAAACGTCCAGTAAAGTGTGTCCAGATGCGTCTGATGCTTCTGCTGCTCCTGTGTTTAATGGCAGAGGAGCAGCTTTGCTATATTTCCTGTGATCGGTGGGAAAAAAGTAGTTTTCATATATTTTTAATGGAGAAAGTCCACCTGAAAACATCGTCTGTGCAGTCAGTTCATCCAGATTACCATCCTGCCTTCAAATATTATTTATCTGTCGGAGCCGCTCAGACCTCCACATTCCGGCAGTGCGCTGTCACTGGGAATCCCCAGCAGCAGCTGCCTCAGGCCCGGTCACCTCTTGCGGGTTTTCCCCTACTGTTGGTGGCGTCTCGAAGTAGATTTTTGTGTTTTTCAGGTATGTGGTAAAAACTGCAGGCACTAAAATAAAAATATAAGCGAACATATTTTGCTGGCAGGTTTCAGCATTTAAGTTAATTTAGGCGTTATTAAACACTTTCATTGGATCGATCATAGCGCTTTGCATCAGCAGTGCAGTGTCTGTCTGCCAGCTCCTACATAAGCTTCTCTGATTGGTTGATGTTTAACATCGAGCAGCTTTAGTTAAATTTGCTGTTTGTCTATGAAGTTCACAAATTATAATCTATCATGTTTATTTTTGCAGAGGAGAACAGCAGCAGCAGCTTTGATGGAGCCTGGATGAGTCGTGAGCAGAGCGTGCCGACGCCAGTTATGATGCATTCACCGCACATCACTTCCACCGTGTTGAGGGACCCTAAGAGGATGCGGCCAGAGGAAAGCTACGCAGCCACCTTCTCCATGCCTGCAGAACAACACCTTCATCAAGCGCTTCCCCCACAACAACAGCTGCCTCATCCCCAGCACCAGGCTGCCATGGATTACAAGTACTCAACCTTACCTTAATGGCTTTTGATGAAGACCTGCAGTGGTTTCTGTTCAACCTGAACTTTAATAAAGTTAATTATGAAATAATATTTTGTTGCCTCTTAGCACGCAGGTCACCTGGATGTTGACACAGAGGCAACAAGCTGAAGCCCGTCAGCACCAGGAGAGGGTTAGCATGCATTACGCCAAGATGAGGAACCACATGCAGCAAGCAATGTAAGGCAGCCCCTCCTTCTCTTTTCTTCTTATTTACTCTGAAACAAATCAAACAAAAATCTCACTTCTTTGCTGCCCACAGTCGCCGAGGGTCTGGATTAATGGAGGATGATGAGGAACCAATAGTGGAGGATGTGATGATGTCATCAGAGGATCGCCTGGAAGACATCAACGAGGGCATGGATTTCAATACAATGGAAATTGATTTGGTAATGCATCAAATATTATGAATTTATAGTTAGATTCGGTTGATGATCTAAGGTCTATAGTGCTGCATTCACAACAAATGCGTTTTGAGCATCAGAATCAGAAATACTTTAATAATCCCAGAGGGAAATTACTTTTGTTACACGCTCCAGTTACAGTTTTATATAACATATACACACATCCAACTACACAATATAATAAAGATAAAAAATAAGAATAAAAAGAGATAATATATATATATATATATATATATATATATATATTTATGTGTACGTATATCTATGCATATGTAAAAAACTAAATCCAAATAAAGTGAAAATCCAAGTAAGTTATAAATCCAAGTAAAGTGAAACGTGGCAAAAATAGTGCATAAATGTAAATTACGGGGGGGGGGATGCTGAATCACTTGAGGGAGGCGTTATAGAGGTTGATGACCACAGGTAGGAATGATTTCCTGTGGCGCTCTGTGGTGCATCTGGGTAAGAGGAGTTTTCTGCTGTAGGAGTTCGTCTGCTGGACTAGTGTGTCATGGAGAGGATGTGAGTCATTGTCTATTATGGACTGAAACCTGGACAGCATCCTCCTCTCTGCCACGGTGGTCAGGGTGTCCAGCTGCTCCCCTACAACATCACCAGCCCTCTTGATCAGTTTGTTCAGTCTGTTGTTTTTAGCGACCCTCAGCCCACTGCCCCAGCATGTGACAGCAAAGAAGAGCGTGGAAAGGACTTCAGCCTCCTCAGGAAGAATAGTCGGCGTTGGCCCTTTTTGTAGACCACCTCGGTGTTTCTAGTCCAACCTTTTGGTTAAAGTACACTCCCAGGTACTTATACTCCTCCACAGTGTCAACAGGAACATCAAGAAGGCGCCCAGCGCCTTAACTTGGAGAAGTTAGACGCGTATCTGGCAAAGTGTGCACAGACTCCTCTGTTGCGCTCTGGGAGGAGTTGCCCTTTTCTTTTCCTTGTCCTGGCTCTCACGTAGAATGCCAGAAACAATCAAGGGCGTGACTTTGATTTTTTCATGAGTGAAGAAAAACTTAGAGATGGAAACTTTTTCATTTGCGAGATATACTGAGATGGCAGCTTTGAGTATTGATCAGTGCCGGTACTAACCAATGTATCAGCATGAATTATTTATACTTTTATTATTTTGTAATGTGGTTAGAAAAGGAGGTCTGGCGCTCTGAAAAAGAACTGCATATTTTAGTGGGATTATAATCCTGATGAACTGATAAACAGAGGATGTTTGGACGGGGAACTTTTTCGCTTAAAAACGTGCTAAAACTATTTTTCCAACTCAGGTAAATAAAGCCAAGCTGCTCTCTAGCTTGAATCTAAAAAACACAATAGATAAACAAACAACCATAGCATCGAAGCAGCAAAGCAAATGCACCACAGTTTAATCTAGCATTTAGATTTCTGCTTTTACACGTATTTGACGCTGATAACGTATTTGGTGTGAACGCAGCATAATTGTTCAATCTTGGTGGGATTCCAAATATTAAATGATGCCCTTTTTGTCTATTAGGGATGATCTAATTTCTAACTCCATTATCTTTAGTTTGAAAAGCATTTTTTTCCCTCTGTGATCTCTATTTATGTTCTAACTGAGCTGTCACTTTTCAGCCTGCCTCTAAGAATCGGAGAGAAAGGAACGAACTAAAGCCAGATTATTTTGATCCATCTTCCATCATGGATGATTCGGTAAGAGGATTCCTGTCACTCACGTTTCCACGTTTCTTTTAACGTTTCTTAAAATGGGAGTTTTTCCTGGGTCCAAGTCTGAAGAAACGTGGCCCTTCTCTGAATCTTCAGGTCTGGTCAGATCTATAAAGGTGTTCCCTGTCCCATATTGCATACTCACTTTTGCTATGCCCCTCATTATTAATGATCTCCTGACCATCTTGGGATGAAAGTCTAACACTCAATACACCCCCTAGTGGTCAGATTTTATTTTCTACTTTATTCAGATCATGAGTCTGATTGCCCTCCTGTTGGAGAAACTTCTGCATACTATAGCAGGAGATAAACTAAGTTTATTATTGGGAAGATTTGAGTAGCATAAGTGTTCTGATTCATGCCCCAATGTTTCACATATCTGAGTTGGAATTACTATTAATCTTTAATATCTGTATGGTGTTTCTTTTAGGCCTGAATCTGGCTTAGTTTGAACAGATTAAGGCAGCAGTTGACGATGAATTGATTACTAAAGTAGCTGACAATTATTTCAATAATAAATTAATCTGATTCATTGTTTCAGCCCTATAACATACCCATTTGATGTAGGAACTGATGTTATGCAGAACCATAATTGATAAAGGTATGGTGGACAATTATTCCAGAAACTAGATAAGAAACAGACAACTTACTCTTGAATACCTGCACATGTGGAAGACCATCCTCCCAGCTCTTCCACCATCGTGTGAATTCTGAGCTCTTCTTCCTCTCATAAACTTCTAAGACGGTTTACTTCTTGTGACTGAGCTTTTTTTCACAGATAAGGTAATTTCCATGGAGCACCAACCCAAGCTAACTGGATACACAAACACTAGAAGGCCGCAGCAAGAAGATTGTCATATATATCTTTAATTTAGCCAGCATGGACTTGTAAACATGTTTTTTTATTTATTACCAAGGACTTTTGGACTAATTGGGAAAATCAGGATGTCGCGCTGCATTTATTTTCCAGTTGATCCCATGCAGAACTGGTCTGTTTCTGACCAGCCCTCAGTCATCGCTACTTGCATGAACGCCCCTCTAAACATGGTCTAGCTCTACCAATCTACATACCACCAAGCTGCTTACTAAAAAAAAAGCTCAGTGAACTGTTACTTACTTTTACTGTTCCGTTTGTTGGGAATTTGACTCTAATTTTGTCTCTTTTTTTTAGGTTCTTAATGTTCCAATGTTCTAACACGAAGTGGACGGAGGACAATGCATCATCCAGATCCTCTTCTTGGAAGAAGAAATGACCGCTCTCTGTGAAATCTTTGAAAGGAAAAGGTTAAAATGAACTATTACAATGGTCTTTTGAAGACTCATTTATTTGCCTCTTTAACACTTAAAGACTTGGAGGTGGAGCCTTGAGTTGAATTAGAATTTAATCCTGAGTTTTAACCCCTTTTGATTGGTCCAACTGCAAGAGAACCAGGGTTCTGGTTCACTTTCTGATTCCTGGAGGAAATGCAGAATAATCAGTCTGGGTGTGAAAGCTAAATTCAGACTATGGCCATTTCTCAATTCACTACAATGCGAATAAGTACTTGTATTATCGCCAAGTATATTTTTGACAAGAACACAGGAAAGTGTGGACTCAGGGAGAACGGGAGCAGGCAGCATAAATATGGGTCAATTGGAACAGAAGCGTACTCTCGACATCTCACATTTAAAGCTAGTCTGGAGCTGCATTTGAACTCCTATTATTTATAGCCTCTAGATAGAAATAAGTTAAATTCATTATAAATTAATTTAATAAAACAATCAAACCTACGTCTGCTGTAGACGGCTAACGTTAGCCCTGGCTAGCCTCAGAGCCGATTGCCACAGTCCTCTCAACATCAGAACTTTTTAAAATTACCCACTAAATCAGTCAAAAGGCCATATAGTAATGCTTAAAGTATGTTTTTCGCCTCAAATGATATTAAAATATAATTTTGTGGAACAACGGCAACAGAAAATAGAACTTTTAACTTAGCACTCTGAGCTCTGTGAGCGCTAACCTGGAAGCTGCTGCTGCCGTGGTGCATGCTGGGACAGCTGTCGACAAGTCTTCTCTGATGCATGCTGGGTAAAGAGAGAGGGGTGAGAACAACATCCAGATACTGTCCGTTCTCTGTCTTGTGTTCTTGGGAATTGGAACAGTGCTTGGCTGATGAAGTTTCACGAGCACACAAGGACGCACAAGTACACAGATTGAGAAATGGCCTATATCTCTTTTTTTTTTCTTCCTTTTTTTCATTTGTTATATAAACAGTTGTCTGATGTAAATACATAGAGGCCAACGTTCAGGACAGGTGAACACAATTTCATTACCAATGATTTTCAGCCGTCTGATAATGAACCACTTTACTATTGCTGTTACTTCTAAAAAATAACGTTGGGTTTCTGTAATACCCACGAACCAAATATGCGATCGTAGAGTATTTCCAGAACAGCAGCGCCCTCTACATGGCAACTACATGAAATAAGGCGGTTAGTGTTATTGTGTTCACTTCTTGTCGTGGCGAGCCGTAGATTTTTGGCATGGCATGTAGCCATATATGGAGATCTATACGCAGTGAATCCTGATGTGAACTAGCTTGTTATGCTGTTTAAAAGGCCTTGCCCTCAGTGGTGTACAGCATCCTCACATTTCTTTGTGATGGTATTTTTAAGAAACATTTGTTCTGCTTTTATACCCTATAGATAACTTTGATTTATAGGTATTTTGTATTGACAATCAAATGTAAATGAAAGGTTTATAATCACGCTAATAATGCTTTTGAACTGAAATGGAACAGTGTTACTTTAGGTATGGCCAGTTGTTTCTTTTCTCTCTATGATTAAGGCTTTAATGTGGTTCTATAAAAATAGACGGTTGATTCTAACAGTTCCTGGAGATATTTACGGTCCCACCTGTACAATCCTGACCCACCCATAAACCTTTAATCTTTCCTATAGCCTGTTTTTACATTGTATTGTAACTAATATCTAATATTCCTCAACATTTTTGTTAAAAACAAAAAAAGGACTTGGAAAAACTCTGAGGAAAGTTTTGTTTGTTATTTTTTTAATCCCAGTATACAGCTGTGCAGAGGATTTTTTTATACGTTTTGGTTTTCCACTGTTATTAAGAAAATATTCTCAATTGCTAAGGCACAGAATACTTTAGAAAAATTATGATAGTATCTGACTTGTAAATTATACGGTTAAAAAGGTGTAATATATTGTGAGTGTGTGCGTTTATAGGTGCACTTTCTTCACGTGTGAAACTAGGTTGCGGTTAAAGAAAAACTATGCTACTCTGACATTAACCCAGCCATTTTTAAGTACGGCTCTACAGTTTTTACCTCGTTTCTCACAGTTTTCTTCTCTATACTGGCCCAGTTTGCAGATGCTACCTTTATAGAAGACAGTATAAGTGCATATTGTAGCTAGGAAAAAAAACAACAAAATTTTCTCTGTAAACTAGAGAGGGATAACCTGAGTATTTAGATAACCACATTAAAATAAGCTTTTGTGTCGGCGGAAATAGGAATGGTACATGATTATTTAGAGCATTTCAGTTTGCATTGTTTAGGTTTTTACATTGAATTCCTGGATACATCTGTTTGTTTATACATATTTAAATATTTGCATATATTAAATTTGTGATTTTTATTCTATTTACAAAGTGCCCATTGCATCTTTTAATATTTGTATTTATGTCCTGAAATGTAACACAACCCAATAAATCATTTAAAACTTGAATCATCATTTTTATTTAGATTCATTACATTTTTTTTTTTCTTTTTTTATTCTCTATACTTTTGTTCTCAGGACTGAGGTTAGCCGTATTTGAAGCTATACCAATCACACTGCGTGTGATTTCTCTTTGATGCAGAATATTTTGTTTATAAGGCAGACAACTAATGGGACCAATTTGCTCATTGCTTTGGTTCTAATGGTGCTAATGGTAATTCCTTGTAATGAGCTCTGGTTTAGTGAGCTCCAAGCGATCTTATTTTGCTAATGTATATTTTATATAGCCAGGCCAGGTAGAGCTGGTGGAAAAGGGGAATTAGGACACTTTATGTCCTACAGGAGCTGATGAGAAAAGTTTAATGTTTCGTTCTTTTTATTGATTTCTATTGGCAGTTGGTGAAAAAAAAACTTTTGATTAGCATTTTTGCCACCTACCGATAAGGAGTGGAATTTAGCAAATTAATTCATTTGTAGATTTTTTTTAATCAATTGATTTATATTAGACAGAAAAAAAATCCTTATATAGTTCTATGCAGAATTTAAACCAGGTAAAGCTAAAACTCTCCCAGTTAATACATTCTGGATAGAGCATTTTGACAGATACAAAAATTTTTTAATCAATGATAAAAAATGTTTGATAAATAATTGCTCAATTCACTCCAGTTAACAATTTGATTACCAATTTAGTTGACCATTATTTAATTAATTGATTAACCAGATTGCTTGAGCCCCAATACACACACACACACACATATATATATATATATATATATATATATATATATATATATATATGACCAAATTCTATTAAATAATATAGTTTCCTTTAAAAATTGAACAATTAATATGCTTGCTAGTTCTATTTTATTCTATATACCAAAATAACATTTTCCTAAATATTTTGAAAATATTCCTCACATAACTCTTCTCTCTTTTTCATATTAACAACACTCAGATATAACAAGCTCTATTATTTTATGTTTCTCACACTGGTCACCTTTACCAATATTATGCTCCTGTATTTTAAAAAGTTGAAAAATAAGTCCTGTCTGCCCAAAATATTTTTCTTGCTGTTATTTTATTTCATTTCTACTTCTTCCAGCTCTTATTTCTCCCACTATCTTTTGAATTTTATTAAAGTATCTTCCTTTTCTTCCTTCTGCTCTTCTTTCATCAGTGTTTGATGAGACTCTCTGCCCCAGAGTTGCTTGGTTTTACTGTGAATCTAATTTAATTTTAAATTTGTCATCACATTTTCTTTAACGTGCTGGTACCTAACAAATTACTTAACACTTATTCTGCTCTTAAATGTTTGAATGATTCTATTTTAAACTAAACAATGCAGAATTTGAATCTGAACATACTGTTTCCACTGGGTTTAACTAATAAATGATAATAATTATAATATTATACAGATTAATATCTCACCTTTACATCTACCTTTTATTTTCCCCAAGGAAAATCAAACACTAGAATTAGTTTAGGATTAAATAATATTAACTTTGTGAATTCAAATATGCAGAAAAAGGTGATAAATGTCAGCATATCTTTATATCACTAACCAAAAAAGTATTTGAAGCTGTTTGTTTTTTTTTTTTTTATCGTTTTTTATTTATTTGATAACTAAATGAAATCTTCCAGCTTGCGTTATTTAAGCGCTTAAAGTAAAATATGTTTTTTGTACATTAAGTTTTACGTTGACTCTCGCTTCATAGTCCCGCCGTACAGCAGGGAGCTAGCAGCGGCGGCTAACCACCACATTTGACCCTGTAGTGTGCCATGATGCTTAACTAGACATCCGGGCAGTGTATATGGAAGATGGCGACACTCATCCTCCCTGGCGAATGGATCAAAAACTGGGAAAAATCAGGAAAACACGAGTTGTGAGTACTTTTGAGCCCCCTAAATATCCATCTACTACAGAGGGTCATTTGGTCCCTAAAACAGAAATAAGGTCGCTAGCATTTAACCGCCCCAAGGGCTAATGTCTGAGCTAAGCTAGCAGTCGAATAACGTTAGCAAACAGTTAAAGTGCACTAACTTGTATCACTGAAAGCAAAATGGGGTGTATATATTATATATAGGTTTCATATAAAGGATACCCGCCTGCCGGGTACCCGTCAGCTTTATAAAAAAATGTTTTTAAATCTCGTCAGCTAGCTTACAAAATCTGGCTGCTAGCAGGCTAGCTAAATTTGTAAACACGCACCTAAGCTAGTTAGAAACCACCTAGCTAACAAAATGCTTACCTTATCTGATTACTAGTTGGTTTTTAAAGAGAAAGACCGCCAAAGATCTCAGAGAACGCCTTACAGATTAGTAGTAAACAGTTTGAGGAAAAATTCTTTCCAGGCAACATTTTTAAAACATGAAACTTGATAAACTGTGTGGAGGGAAACAACGGAGCTAGTTAGCAGTTTCGCTAGCTTTATTAAAGGCGATGCGAAGCGCTTTATTTAAAGTTTACTTGCATGTGTGTTAAATTAAAAGGAATGTATAAATTATAAATGCTAAAATAGTGTTGGCTGTGTGCTGACTTTCCGAAGAGATGCATATTGTGTGATAAGAAGGTGATAACGTTTTAGTTGGAAGCGCTACCGTTGTTCTTTATTAGCATAACAAATTAAACGGATTTTTACAACTAGCTGATAAACCGTGGAGGATGGCATTTGGTATTGATCGTCGATTTCAACCGACTGGATATTAAATTAGATTAAACTTTCCAGTATTCAACTAGTTATCCGTTAGAGTTGAGTACCTGTAAACAGTGGGAAATCTAAGCTGGATACACGTTTGCATTGCCCAAATAATGGAAGTGTTTGCATAAACGGAGATTTCCCCCATTTCTAAGAGTTTGT